TATGTAAATTAGGTGTATCATACACAACAGTAACCTAACTTTATTTAGTGCTAGGGCTATGTTTTGGGCCACTGTTAACCTACCGTATGTTTAGCAGTCGACGTTTACGGTAGGGTAGCTTAACTATACCATTTGGGCCTAAAATCTTGAGTTCATCTTGTACGGCTGGTCGAAATGTACACAGCAAATTAAGGTAAATGGCTCAATTCACTTCCAAACTTGTAGCTCCTGGGGATCTGAGAGTCCCTATACTACTGAACAATGTCATGTTAATTTGACAAGGGTTAGTGTGATGCGGCTAACCCCCCGGATGGATAAGCTCATGTTTTTTAACGATATTGTGGCTTCAACCGGTTACATGAATTTACTGTCATGTCACACGTTCAAGAGGATTTGATGATGAGGAATTTTATTTCCAACAAAATGTAGTACATCCACTCAAATGCCATCTTGATATAAGGGCCTATCTTGAAGTGATTTTGCCTAATACGTGTTTTTGGTGAAGAAGGTCAATAAAATACCATTCGCGTTCAGCAGACCTCAAACCACTTGACGTTTTTATGGGAATAATTAAACGATAGAGATGACGATACAAAACCGAGAGAAGTCGACGCATTGGGGGCAGCCATTGAACTATAATTTCGCTCCAATCTCGAACGATATGTGTCTTGATGTCTGCGATTCCAATGTTTCGCGTTATCAATAGTGCGCCTGGGCTAAAACGGTTACCAGTTTGAAAACGGGTGGTGACAGAAATAAATTAATAGATATCTGTCGAGATTGTAAGCAATTTTGAAAAGAACATATATTTTGACATATAGTGATCTTATAATTATTCAAATTATAAATGCATTTTTCTGGGGACAAGGTGGATATATATATATATATATATATATATATATATATATATATATATATATATATATATATATGCAATGAAATGAAAAATGTCCGACTATTATTTTAATACGTTTTTATGTTTAACATTCTTTTTATAGATATAAATATTTAAGCAAATGCTATAATATATACGGAACCGTCATTTAGCTTGACGTGTCTTTACCGATTTGGCCACAGAGGAGCGTTCGGTTAGCAAGGTCGAATTTACTGTATTTAAACTTCAATCTAACATGAATCTCTCACGCACATTCAGATCCGCTCATGGCGTATCCAAATGTAAGCAAATGACGTCACACATTCTGAAATGGACAAAGTACGACAATTATTTTAAGACACTTTAATGTTTATAAATTTTTTTTATAGATAAAAAATGTTTAAGTAAATGCTCTGTTTATAATAAACAGTATTAAACAACATTTACCTGCCTGAATGTCCGAGAAATTTTCATAGAAAATATTCGTCTTCTGACAGGAATCGAACCTGTATCCTATACGGAACCGTCATATAGCCTGACGTGTCTTTTAACCGATTCATATCTGCTCATAGCGTATCAAATGTAAACAAATGACGTAAACAAATATACGTGATAGATTTATGGATGATTGAAGTTTATAAGCAGTAAATTTGAACTTGCCGACCGAACGATTCTCTGTGGCCGAAAAGTATATATATATATATATATATATATATATATATATATATATATATATAAATACAGGTGTGGACTAATATAATTTTTCATGTAATATATATATATATATATAGTTTATGAAAAACTAGGTATTCCGTATGGGTAAACCCAAGGAGGATAAAATCCAGTGAGCTCAATGTAAATTCAGAGCAAATAAGGACTGTTGTGAAATAATGGAACATTAAAGTGGTCTGTTTTATTTAAATTATATATATATATATATATATATATATATATAGAGAGAGAGAGAGAGAGAGAGATGCATATACATATATATATATATATATATATATATATATATATATATATATATATATAGATAGAGAGAGAGAGATGCATATATATATATATATATATATATATATATATATATATATATATATATATATATATGTGTGTGTGTGTCTGTGCGTGTGTGTGAGTGTGTGTGTGTGTGCGTGTCTGTGTGCATATGGGATCAACTAAAAATAATGTTTCATGTAATATATATATATATATATATATATATATATACATGTTGTTGCGTGTGCGCGTTTTTTGTATACGGTTGTATGTTTGTGTGCGTCCTCTCATCTACCCATTATAAAGGCCGTGAGAAGGAAAAAGTGAATTAAGAGATAACCAAAAAAAAAAAAAAAACTTAAAATGGTGATAAGCGCGCCAATTTCGTTCAAATAGCGACCACAACTCGGACATGATCTGATAAAGGGAAACCCTATCGAATAACGAGTCGCCGTCAGGTTTGATGAGAATGATAATCATGTTGACGCATTTTTTATTTTTTTTCTGGATGATTTTTTGTTGTACTTGTTGTTGTTGTATTCCTGTCTTTCTTCCCCCCTCTCTTTCCTCTCCTTACTTCCTACACACGTACGCATACACACTTCTAAACGTAAACTCCAAAATGGCCGTTCAGTTCGTTTATACTCAAAATCTCAGTCATTTGTTCACTCCTCATTCTCTCTCTTGTTATTCGTTTTTTTTTTTGCTTTTTTCCTACCATAACCACCACTTCCAACGCTATTATTATTATCATTATTATTATTATTATTATTATTTCTTCTGGATAATGTTTTTGGACGATCCTCCTCTTATGCGACTTTATTCTTCTTTCTCTTCATTACAAATTACGTTTCGCCGTCATCCATTTTTTTTTTCTTCATCTTGTTCGTCTTTTTCACCTGAGCATTCTTAGTTTATTTCTTCTGTCTTTTCTTGTTGGGTTTTCTTTATTCGTTCAAACATTTATTTTTTTCTCCATCTATTTCATATAGTATAGTCTGGTTCGGTATTTCTCTTCAAATTATTATCTATATTTGTTTATCGATATATATATATATATATATATATATATCGATAAACAAATATAGATAATAATTTGATATTAATATTTATATATA